CCCATGGCCATTTCCCCTCCCCCCACCCCCTCCCCTGCAGATTTTCCTGGCTGGGGGTGGGGGGGCATGCATGCGTGATCAGACTCCCCCCGCCCCATTTTTTTCCTCTGCCTATGCTCCCAGTGCCTTGCGGCAACCAGCAAAGCCCAGAGAGCTTGAGGCTTTAGTTGTGGGCACTCCCCTTTTCCTGGGTCTATTTTTGCAACGTGCCTTCACCTAAATCACAAAAAACAGCAAGGATACACATTCACGTTTATGCATTTTTCTGGGTCTCAAGCAAGGTAAAAGAGGATCTTAGGACTCGCCTAAATGTCTCCTAAGGACCTAGTACATGGAATAGATTGCTCCCATATTACAGTTTTCCACTCCAAGGCCAGGTAAGCCCTACCCTCCCACACACAATTCCACTACTGTATAGAGAATGTCATTTGCAAAGTGCGAAAAGAGATGACAGCATCCCAAATAGGAAGTGTTCATTGGTTAGAGGACTAACTCAACTCCACAAATCATTCTAGGACAGTTACTTTGCTATTGCAGTCATAGGTGAAAACTGTGCCTTTAAAGATCTTAATGTCTCCACACAGATGAAAATGATATAAGTGTCCTGATTAATAAGACAAACATATTGGTTGAAAGCAAGAATTCAAACACACATTAATAGGGAAGAGTACAGAATTGCTGACTTCAAAGCACCCTTGAAATATTTAATGTGCACTGCTATCCACTAGTTTAAAATTGCTTCAGCTTGGAAATTTGTTCTTAAAGAATGGGCAACCATCTTTTATTGTACCCAGTATGAGAGGTACAACAATGCACTTTTTTTTCCAGACCAAGAAGAGTTTAGGCTCTTAAATCCTGGTTTTAAAAAAAATATATCAGTAAGATCTGGTGATTTTAAAGGGAATGTTGTTCCTTAACACCAGAAGCCTTTTCCTGAGAGCAGAAATACATACTATAAGCTTTGTCAGTGTATAACTTATCTATTTAATTAAGGAACTTCAAAGATGGTCTATAGAAGCCCTCAAAACTTAAAGACACTTTTATGGAAACAGATTAAGGTTGTACATACCTGCTCAACTTCTCCCAGCGTGACTGGCTGTGTTTGGTAGCGAGCATTCATTCTCCTGTGTCTGATGTCAGATCTGCTCCTTGTTGAGAGGGCCTTCGATACTGGTTGAGACAGTCTGTTAAACAGGGCCATCTTTTCTGCCAAGCTTAAGCTAGAGGAGTCTGGTTCATCAGACTGTTCTTGTTCAACTGCTTCTTTGGCTGCTTTGATCTCTTCTTTAGCTAAAATTTTTTGGTGTGCTGATGCCTGTAGACTGAAAGAGTAGACCTAAAAGTTAGCTTGTTAAGAATTTTGTGCGATTGTTTAGAGTTTACGGTTTTATCCTGATATAGAGGCAAGACAATCGCACATGAAGCATAACAATAGCCAATATAAAATAGCAGCATAAGTGGTTATGCAGTGTGCGAAATACCGGCAAGGAGAATTCTGATTAAGACTTTAACGTGCTTCACAGATTCAGGTAGCTGGCTGGGGTACAAATTGTTTTTAAAGGAGGATGAAGTGGGACTTAAAACCATCAGAAGTCAGTCAAAAAAGTTTGCTCCATTTCAACCATTTAACACAGAATTTTCTGTGAAGGTAAATTTTAGATGTCTATTCTACAGTGACATTTATTTAAATTGCTTTATTAGGAATTTTTATAGACACTACGTAATGGAAGAAACTAAAGGCTGGGGTTTTAATCACTGTTGTTTATATTTTCATTTTACATAATTAATATAATTACACTGTTTACATTTAAATAATTAACTGAAGATGCATTGTTAATTTTATAAAACAAGAGAACACTTGCAATATTGAAATCTTAGAATTTGAGCTGGCGATTGCTTAAAATTATGATAATTTTTATCATTAAAATACAATGGCAATGCATCTTTATTACATTTGTTCTCCCTTTAGACTATATGCAGAAACCCAAAGAATAGGCTTAGAAACGCACTAAAGTACTTAAAAGACAATATGACCAATGTTTACAATAGGATCTGTTTACACAGTCATAACTATATTTATTTCTATATTAAACTTATTCTATGGGTTGAATCAAGTTAGATTTGATTTTTTGTGTTTATACAGTATGCTAGAGGTTCTGGCATAATCCTTGTCTATAGCTGGGAAGTCATTCTATGCACTAGATGCAAACAGGGATTTGTGCTTGCACCTACAGGTGGTGTCATTTCTTATATTTCAGGTTGTAAAATTAGAGGAAAGATGCATATTAAGAAATCCATATAGAGATGTACGACTTATGAAAGAAAAAGATCTAGCTTTGGTATTTTTGAATTTGGAGACAAAACACTTCTTAAAACAACATAAAAGCGCATGGGGGGGAGCAAGAGGGGGTTGCTAGGGGTTTTATCATGCAAGTTCAATTCTTCCACATAAAATATGAGCTTCAAAACAAGTAAAGAGAGGTCCTAAGTCAGGTGCTCAACAAGCACAAAAGCTTAAATGTTTTATCATGCAATCAGAAAAACAAGGATGACAGGTATCTTTAAAACATTCTTGAAATAAATGTTGCTGACTTGTTTGACACATTGATAAGCCATTCAAAATTTTAAGATGCATCTGTTATCCAGGAACCTTGTGCTCCATGTAACATGCAGGTTTACCGCCCCCCCCCCCAGTACCTGATAGGTTGTACAGTGCTCTTAACTACAGTGGGACTAGGTATTCTTGCCACTACAGTGTGGGTATTCACAGAACGTGAAGCAGGGGTAGGTTCACTTTAAAAAGAATTGCCAAGGGAGGGAAAATTCACAAAGAGAGAGAAGAAAAAAGCATTAAGAAAAGCATTGTATTAAGTGTTAACTACAGAAAAGACAAAAATCAAACAGCAACATTTTACAATTAACAGTTATCTGCTGCAAACTCTTGCAAAATAAGACAAAGTACTTTGAAAGAGCTAAATGAGAGGCTTAGGACAGCAAAGAGAGTCTCTCTCTAGTGCTTGACTACTACCCACAATGTACACCAAATTTTCTTCATTCTATTTGCTAATTATGTGCATGGATTCTTTCTCTGACAACTGGTTTGCCCGTGGTTTTCCAGACAGTGACAGGATGTATGAATGGAGGGGGCAAGGCATGGATTTTCAGGAGGTGCACAGGAGCACTTGCAGGTTTTCCTCAATTCACATATGCTCCATAACTAATTGTGAAGACTTCCTCAAGGCAAAAATGACTTTACTTGGTTTACAATCCAATGCTGCAACTCATCCCTCTCTACACAACAGCTTCACAGGATTTCTGCGAGATTAAAGTTCAGTGTTTTCAGCCTTATTAGACTTGAGGCACCCCTCAGAAAATACCAGCTCTTAAGAGTTCACTTGTTTTTTGACTATGGAATAATAATAGAGCAATTCTACTAGTGCAAAGCATTTGGGAAGACCACAACAGGTCTGAAGGTTTTTAATACGATGCATTTGTCTATTTGAAACTTCTGCTTTCACTTTGTGATGCATCTAACAATGCTAATATTGAATGACACCCTTGAAAGGATCTCATGGCACTCTGGCTGAGAATTTACTGTTACAGTTCATACAATTTAGTCCTCTCTATACCCCAGGGGTTGGCAACCCCCCGCATGCATGCCGAGCATGGCACGCAAGGCCATTTTGCTTGGCACACCACCACCAGCCCTGGCTCTGTGTAGCTGCTGGAGCCTGGGCTGCTCCTAGCAGGGCTTGCAGCGTCCCAGCTGCCTGCTGGGAGCAGCCCGGGCTCCCGGCTGGCAGCAGCTCCCCAGAGTCGGGGCTGGCTGTAGCCGGGAGGCTCCAAACAGCTGCGCCGGGCCCTGGAGCCCCAGCATCAGCTCCGTACCGGCACGTGCAGGCACGCCTCAGAGCGGGCGCTGGGGGAGGGGCCTGAGGCAGGGCAGCGCAGCCTGCCCCGAGGTGCGCACACAGTCGCCACCAGCACGGAGCTGATGCCGGAGCTGTGCAGCTTGGCGCAGCTGTTTGCAGCCTGCTCCCTGCTTGCTTGTTGCAGCTGCCCAGAGCCCAGGCTGACTACAAACAGCTGCGCTGGGCTCCGGAGCCGTCACCAGCTCTGTGCCAGGAGCAGGGGAGAGACTGGGGCTGCGCTGCCTCAGGCCCCTCCCCCACTGCCCACTCCGACATGCGGGTGCACATGCCAGTACGGAGCTGATGCCAGGGCTTCGGAGCCTGGCGCAGCTATTTGCGGCCTCCCGGTTGCAGCCAGCCCCGACTCTGGGTAGTTGCTGCCAGCCAGGAGCCCGGTCTGGGGGGCAATAGAACAGCAGGGCTGGGGGGCACGGGGCGCACACAGGGCATCCTGCCACATACCCCCTGCCCTCATTTTGTTTTTCTGGCATGCCAGTACTCCGGCACTTTCCAAGGTAGGAATTGTGGGGGTTTTCAGCACTGACCAAAAAACGTTGCCTACCCCTCCTATACCCCTTAGTCCTAAAGGAATCGCCAAGTAGCAATTCCCTGCGTCTCTCAAAACCGTGCCATGACAACAAATCTTTTCCTGACTAAACAAGCTGTAAATATGATATGTGTGTAATACAGTCTCAGCTTTAAAAGCAGTAGTCAACACCAAAGCTAATGCATTACTTGAACTTACGTTGCTGCAATGACCACTTCTTCAGTAGTAACTGGTTGTGTGCGGGACCTATCTTGCATACGCCTCAGTCTTCTCTCTACTGCTGAATTCCTTGAACGTGGTTTAGGAATATTTTTTGCTTCAAGTGATTTTTCCATTTCCTGGGATTATACACATGTTGACATTAATAACCCCAACGAAGAAGAAATTACCAGAACAAGTGTTTCTGTGCAGCTTTCTTAGATGCTAGGTGTTACATTTTCTACATAGATGACTCTGAACTGGCAGAGGAAAAGTGGCAACAAGCAACATGAAGATAAAAAAAGAGCTATACACATCTCCAAGAGATATATGTAGTCTCCTGAAAACGTCATAAACAATATGGCTAGCACTCAGGTGACTAGGAAAAGTATATGCGATTTACAAAGATACTAATGCAGGTAGAGGTTAAGTATACTTGGGCAGCATCAGGGTTATTGACAATTCTTGCATAAAAAATTCAAGTCAGTCTTTGATTGAGAAAACACAATGCTTACTTTAAAAAGCAGCCTTTTTGCAGCAACACTCAGTTTGGCTCGGTCATCCAGTTTTTCTTCATCTACAGAAAGAAAAACACATGATATAACATGAACTTGAAATACTGCACTGTAAATACCAACACGTCAGAAAATGAGTCCAGAAATCCTTTTAACTACAAAAGACAAATTTACTTACTGGCACAAGAAGAACCAGGAAAATGACCAGCATTAAAATGTAAACGCAAGTTAGGGTCTGTTTTCCTCAAAAACAGCATGTACGTAGGAGTATAACTTGCCTTTTTCAAATTAGACTTTTGCTTAGGGACAGAAAGTTAAAACACGGAAGGGAAAAGTGTTGGGTTTTTTTGTTTATATTTCCTAGGTTTTATAGACATTAGGGCTGGAAGGGACCTCAAAGATCATCAAGTCCAGCCCCCTGCCCCAAGGGCAGGAAGTCAGCTAGATAAGCATCCAAACATTTCTTGAAAGAGTTCAGAGTAGATGCCTGCACCACTTCTGGAGGAAGTCTGTTCCAGGTCTTGGGGGCTTGGACAGTAAAGAAATTTTTTCTTATGTCCAGCCTGAAACGGTCTTGGAAGAGTTTATGGCTGTTGGTCCTTGTGTTACCTTGGGGTGCTCTGGTGAACAGCTGTTCTCCCAGATCCTGATATACATCCCTTATGTACATATAGGCAGCCATCAGGTTACCCCCTGAGCCTGCACTTTTCCAGGCTGAAAAGTCCCATGGCGCTCAGCCTCTCTTCATAAGGCCTATTCTCTTGCCCTCTGATCATGTGCGTGGCTCTCCTCTGGACTCTCTCAAGCTTCTCAACATCCTTCTTGAATTGTGGAGCCCAGAATTGGGTACAGTACTCCAGCTGCGGCCTCACCAAGGCCAAGTACAGCGGGAGTATAACATCGTGAGATTTACTTGAGAAGCATCTATGGATGAATATATTAGTATTCAATTAATAAATTTTCTCAATAATAATTTATATACAGTAAAAGCTGTGTTAACCAGCATTTAAATAACCGGAACACTAGTAATTGGAATTTCTGGCTGGGGGGAGGGGGGCTCACACTCCCCGCACTCATGCTGGATAACAAAGCTTTTACTGTATAATTCAAACAGTAAATTACTACTTTACTACCTTCTTCATGAGAAATTTTTTCCTAATATCTAACCTAAAATTCCCTTGCTGCAACTTGATTATAATTATGCTGCTCCTGTGTCCTAGTGTATTAAAACTCTCAAAAAATATTTGGAGAACTGCTAGATTCAAGAACTAGTAATAACCATTTGGGCTAGGGACAGAAGTTACATAAACTGGTTTAAGTCATCAGAAACTGGTTTAAACCTGTAACAGAACAGAAGCTCAGTGCACATAAACCAGTTTCAAAATGGCTGAAACTGGTTTAAGATAAATCTGGCTGACTGTAGTATCAAACTTAACTGATTTGGGTCAAACTGATTTATGCAACTTCTCTCCCAGACCTCTTCCTGGTTCAAGTTAAATCACAGTTCCTTAGCATACCAGCATACTTTCCAGCCCTGGGCTGGGCTGGGCTGTCTGGTACAGCAGAAAAGGGTTGGGTCCAGGGAAGCAAACCACAGCTGGAGTTAAACCCCCCTTCTCCCAAGTACAGAGCAGCCCTGACCTGCTAAACTTACTGCTGGCTGTGACTGTGGACTACAAATCCCAGAGGCACCTGGAAGCAGGAAGAAGTAGTGACGGAGCAACCCTTAAGTGTCCTGCTGCTGTGATTCTGGACTGCAAATCCCAGAGACCTCGGGGGCAGCAGGAACAGGAAGGGAAAACACAGCCCATGCTGGCTATGTACCAGACAGCCATGCTCTAGTGCCCCCCCCCCAGTTCTGGCTTGAGCCACTCTAGGCATGTGGTTGCATTTCCCGAATCAAAAGTGAATGTCTGTCCACTTGTTTAATCTCTGCATCTTAAATTAACCTGCAAAGACTGAATTGATTCAGCCTTGGGCTTTTTGACTGCCTGCACTTAGCTTTGAAGGTTCACTATTTCATCTCACCTTAGAATAGAAACATAAGTGTATTACTCCCATGAGCAGATTATGAAAATCAGATTATAATAGCAAGTTTTTCTATCATCATTTTGTTTCCTTTGTTGTTTCAGTTGGTTTTAGCTACTACCAATAGCCATCTTTAGGGCTGAAAAAGTGCTATAAAAATATGAAAAGCTGTGGGGAATATCAGCATTCAAGTAGTATAAGGCATCAAAACTCTAAATGTAGCTGTTCAAGAGATTAGCTTTGTTATTTGTGCCAGAACTGAAGTGCTATACAACCATGGAAGAGAGAAGCAAGACTGCTAGTCAGTATTACCATACTAAGCTTAAGTATCCAGCAATTTCCTTAACTAGAAAAATATTTGTTTGAACAATACAAAAGTTTCCATCAGCATTCAAACTTCCCAAGCACTTGACACAGACTACTGCTTAGAAATAGGTTAATAGAAAAATAAAAATCATATCTACAATCTTGAGTGGATATAAATAATTATAGGAAAAATGTTTGGCTTAATTTTTTTTTAAAATATAATGCTGACTAGGGAGCTGCAGACAGATTTTTTTGGCTTTAATTAAATGGTAGAACTATGCTTTTCTACTTATGACCCACAAAAGCATATTAGGAATAGCTAAAATAGTATGTAATACTAGCGAATTGCCCACGGACGGGACGGGACGGGACGGGACGACTTGCACACAGCGACCACTGCTGCCACCCGCTGCCCCGTGTAGCTGATGCGCCATGTCCGGCCCCGAGCCAACCCCACCGCCAATTGCTGCCACTGTTCCATGTCCACCTGCGCACCCCCCACTCCCCCCACATCCACCTGGCCTGCTCTGCTGGAGTTGCACCCTGCCTTTCATTCTTGACGCAGCACTGGCTGGAGCCATGCTCCACCAGGAGCCACGCCCCCCCCAAGACCGTGACAGGCAGGCAGGCAGGCAGACAGACCCCGTTATATATACAGGCAACCCCCGCTTTTAGCGTTCTTGTTTCCTGAAAAACCAAGCGCTCAGCAAAATTGAAAGTATTTCACGACCTAAGGTGGCAACCACAATTGCTTTTAATGACCCAAGATGGTGACCACGAGCATTATAACAAAACTTGCTGAGCGCTAAGTGAAAGCAGGTATCAATTTAAAATGAGCATTACAGCAAAATAACGCTAAGTGAAACAGCGTTAAGCGGGGGTTGCCTGTATAGATTCTGTTGTAATACTATACTGACTGCTGGATTTTGGTCATACTGGGTGCATCTACATGAGATATGTCACTGAGCTATGGCAACATAGCTTGTTGCTACAGCGATGTAGCATCAGCAGGCATAAACCCTGATACCTTAGCTACATCACTGCAGCTCACAGCTACAGTGATGGAGCATCTAAAAACAATTGCTGCTGGGTCTGCGCAGTACAAAAACAAGTACAAAATGACTGCGCAGTACCAAATGCACAGTCAGGGGCATGTGTAGATGCACCCAATGACAAGCACTTTTTGCAGCTCACCCTCTTCCCTCATCCCTTCCTCACTTCACCATTATCCAAATAGAAATTCAGGCACGCTTACCATCAGCAGCTGGCATTTCTGGAGTCAAAGCAGATCTAGTGAAGGATAGCAAATAAAGAGAGTCAGTTGGGAGAGAGAGGCTGCAGGGAACCAAAGGAAACCACAGTCTAGAAACAAATCCAGTTTCAAATGGTTAGGTGGGACAGTTACAGGTCTCATAGGTGAGAAAGCTACATGTTTTTAACAGTCAATTTTTTTCCATTACTGAAATCCTTTAACAAGAGCAGTAGGGCAAGCAGTACAAGCCAAACTTAAAATCTAGAAAAGGAAAAATTATTCCAAGTGCAATTCATATTAGTCTTAGGAATTTTCTGGCAGTCCTTTTAAACGTAAAACATTGAGTCTGGGCATAACTGTTGTTTATTTTAAAAAGGAGCTCCCTTTACATATATGTGATATATAAAAACCAGACAGCCTTTCTTCCTACTCAGAACAACTGCCTGGTTGTACTTTCATTTTTACAACAAATACTTCAAAATTGTTCTGAAGAAACAAAACTGCTTGTATATAAAAATGTATACTTTATTGCTGTTACGGAGACAGAAAACCCTTTGTAAGAAATTTTTTTGCTGACATCGTGAGAAAGTTTTCTATGTGAGCTCGCTTATATTTCTACGTGAGCTCGCTACCTGCATCAGAACACTACAGAAAGCCACACACATGCTGCCTACCTATCTGATTCCTTTCGTTCTGCTGAAGTTATAGGTTGAGTTCTAAATCTCTCGGAAGTCTTTCTACTTTCACCAGGAGAAAAATAGCGCCTTGGCTTTCGTGGCCCTCTTTCACGTTCAGTATTGGCAGACAAAGCACTACCTGATGTTGGCATCTCAAACCGAGATTCACTTTTAACCATATAAGAAGTGCATAGAAAAGAGAATAGGAGAGAGAAGTAAAAGCACAGATATAAGCATCTCACAAAAACGATATGCTAACGATCACTCTGCATGCTCTTAGGGTAACATGCACAGAAGTAAACATTCCAGCTACCCAACATCATAACTTGGGCTAGCAAGCAGAAGCAAAAGACCAGGATTCAGGCTGACTCAGCCTCCAACACAGACTGGTGAGAGCTAAGCTGTGTGCTTTAAAACAGAACAAAACCAATGTTGAGTTTGTGCATCATTTTGCCAAGGACGTGCAAGCGTCACACAAAAATTTCTAAAATGTCACCTACAGTTCAGTTTTCTTGTTGGCATTAGCAGTTTCCAGAAAGACATTACGGAGCTGGGCAACAGAGACCTTTGTGTCTACCATGCCAATCTCACCATTGGGCACATTTGCTTCAACACTCTGAAATGCCATCTCCTTTTTTGTAACTGGCTCCTTACTTTTAAAAGTCTCTAGCTTAGGAGCACCAGTGTAATCGGACAAGGAGCGAGTCAAGAGTTTTTGTTTCACTGTAGACACTTCCCGAGGAGTGCCTTTTGCCTTGGCAGATTGTGATACAGATCCACTTTGAATGAACATAATAGTTTCACTCCTTTCAATGTTCTCAGGCATCTTAAGCTGAGGTTCAGGTATCTGATGCTTGATGCACTCAAGTTCTTTCTGAAGCTCTGATGTCTTTGGCTTGCTTATCAGGGATGAGCTAACTGCAGGCTTGTCTAATTCCCTTCCTCTAAAAAGGCCTTCATGGCTCTTTCCTTGCTTGCGAATCTCAGAGGGCAGAATCGGTTTTCTGCTTTTTGAAAGCTCTTCCATCTCCAGATTATGTTCATCAGGCTTTGATCCATAGCTCTCGAGTATGTCGCTCTTTTCATTCTGTAGCAGAGAGGCTGTTGGGGTTTTTGTGATGAAACCAGCATTGTCTGGGACTAACAAGTTGCTAATTGACACATTTTCTAGTTCTTCCGTTGCCATCAGCTTAGCAGCTTGAGCAACACCAGTGGACTGAATATAGCCATATATTGGTTGGTGAACTGAGCTGAGTGATTGGTTGGCAACCCTATCAAAGGCAGATGTTTCTGACTGAAGAGGCATGTAATGAACTGGCACTGGCTGTGATTTTCTGAGAGACAGAGCATCTGTGACAAGTTCAGGGCTTCCACGAGTACTTTCCTCTTTCACCAGTTTCTCTCTAACTTTTACTCTTTAAGAAAGAAAAAGGATTAAAGCTGTCAACAACAACAACTGATTATAGGGAGGAAAAAAAAAACACAACATGCTCTTATTGCAAGAACACAGAGCAACATTATATTAGAACAGACTACAAAGGAGTAACTAAACAGAATGGGTCAAATCTCCCTCCCCCTTAAAATCTTGGTATTAACATGTCACTCAAGGACACTGAAAATCATTTAGAAGCGGCTGAGAACATGGTCAGCCTTCTTCAAATATAACTGAGTAAGGTATCAAATTTAGAGCATGTTCCCATGAATCACAATGATGCTCCTTTATCTAACACAATGCATTCTTATAGCCTTAGAGAGAGAATAAAAACAGTTTCTAAAAAACAGTTTTAAACAATGCCATGTTCCTTTTGCAATATGCACTATTCAGATTTCTGAGGGTCTTTTCACCACAAGCAGCTAACACCTTACTGCTCACTTTGAGAACAAATTACTTAATATATTATCTGGATATCTTCCCCCATCCCTGCAACAAATAAAGACAATTTTTAGAAGTATGTTACATAGGAGATCTTCAGCTAGATTTCTGCTTGGTCTAAGCAGAAGCATTTGAGATGCTGCAACAAATTCAGTCAAACTTGCTAAGAGAGACCGAATATAGTTAAGGCACAGCTGTAAAAGTGAAAGCGTGGCAACAGCAAATTAAAGCATCATTGAGTTAAACCTATGCCACAGCTTCAATAAAAAGCGTGTGCTTTACGAACGTTTAAAAAAGCCTTCACAACATCCCAATATGTTGAATTTATGGAAATGTATCAAAACTTCTCTCACCTTGACTCGGTTTCTAGCAATGCTTTTTAATGTTTAAGATGCACATGTACCAATACAGAGCTATGTTCTGCCTTTCACTGTTTGCTGCTAGTTCCTGTTAGCAGGAGTTAGACACCCAAGGGCATAATTTGTCCTATATGTAAATTAAAGAACTGCAACGGAAATCTCTAGCATAGTTTTTAAAGTTACAGGAAGTTTACAGAGCATTCACTAAATAAGCAATTTTAAATGTTTTATACATAAAGATTAAAAAGAGATCTGTACTTCCTTGAAAATGGTAAGCAGTAAGGTGCTTTTTGCCAGGTTTAGTGTCCATTAGACATTCCAATCCCCAAGTAAGTGTAGTTCAAGGCTTGTTATCAACAGACTTTTCAGAATTAACTTTGAATATAGGGGGGTTACTTTATAAACCAGGATTAGGGGTTTTGAGAGTGAGGACCCACACCACTGGCATATTAACCTTTCAAGTTGCTCGGTATTCCAGTTTTAAAGACTGACCCACTTTTAAGTGAAGCCTTTCTTTCAACTTATTTAAAAAAAACCAGAAAAAGTGTCATGTTTATTCTGAAAGATTAAGAAACCACTTCAGAATATTATGAAGCCATCAGTTTTTTCCCCAGAGTATCCTTTCTGCATGTTTTCAGATTCAGATAATTAATCGTGAGTCCAAAATGAAGTCTTCCCTGGAATGCGTCTCCCCTGCTTCCTATCTGGGGGCTATTCCAACATGCTGTCAAATGGTAGGATAAAGTCCACTGGTAGCTCTGAATACAGTTATTTTGTCTTCTCTATAGTTTATGTTCTTAATCCTTCTTCCCCTCCCTCTCACCCGCAAGAAAAACGATAGTCTTATTTTTAATAAAACTACCTTCAGGACTTAAAATTTGCAGAGTGCAAAGGAAAAAATAGTTAAGAACAGACCAGAGACAAGATAATGAGTTACAGAAATTAGCCAAAGCCAGTATAATAATAGCTGTGAAGGAAACATTGGGGGTATTTCTAGTTTTCCACTAAATCAATTAGTTACAAGTTACAATAAAAGCAGATGCTCCAGAAGTAAGTTTCAGTGGCTGTTCACTGAATAGGAGTGATCTTTTCTCATCCATGGCTGTTAAAGGATATAGAAGACAAACAGTAATTTATGTCAGAGGAAAAAAGAGGGAGGTGGGGAAGAAGACTGTTACAGTTTGATTGTTAGCCACACAGCTATATTTTAGGATACCTGGAGGGCCAGCTGATAAGTGAAGGTGTGTCCCCTTCCGAATCTTTCTGAAGAAACCATTCAGGTTTTGCTTTCCCTCCACTACTATAGAAAATAGAACTTCAGATAGCTTTTGGTAAGATGTCAATACATGCACACTCAGTCTTATGTACCCTCCCACCCCAATATCTTAAAAACAGTTTTCAAGTATTCATTCAGTTACAAAGATAACTTCAGAAAGTTAAACAACACAGCACATTTTAATGCAAAGAAGCAGCACAATTGTTTAACCAAATATTTTTTTCTACATAATCTACAGAATCCTAAATATTTTGCTGTGACGTCGTGCCCAAACTGTCCAAATGTCTGAAATGAAAGACCAAGAGAAGCTACAGCTATTTCACTTTCTGGATTGACATCCTGTATAAGATACAAGGGAAGAAGCACAATAGTACGCAAAATGTAGACTTACTTTTCTATTCAAAATCTAAAGCAGCAAATCCTACCAAAAATCTTGTTTATAGTTCCGACAAGATATAGATTTGATAATGCTAGAAAAATCAAATTGTGCTAATGCAGTTTAGAAAGAAATACCTACACAGAGCAACTGGCCTTTAAAAAGCTTTCCTCTTTAAGCACTTTGTCACAAATAGTTTCAGTTCAGATGCAGTAACTCCCAGTCCCAGGCTACAGAGCCCCAAAACGAGCTGTGTTTTAGGATAGGTTGGAATGTTACAAGTGCTCTAAATAAGCAGAGAAAAACAGTTTGAGTCTGGTTTTCTTACAGCTGGCTACAAAACACAAACAACATTAAAATGTCTTTAAAAAAAATTAAAGTAGTGTTAGAATGATGTTGCAGCCTTGATGGTCCAGGAATTATGTGGGAGGCTAGGAATTTTTGGGGGTGATAACTTTTATTGGACCAACTGTAAGGTTGGAAAAAAGTTATACAAACTTTCAGATGCAAGAGCTGATGAAGAATGTCTTGCATATGAAAACCTATCCAATTTTATTCCAACCATACAATTGGTTCAATAAACGGTATCGCCCCCCACCCCCCGCCAAAAAAAATCCTCGCCCCTTGCATAAGGACAGAAATTACACACAAACCAGTGTAAGTGATCGGAAACTGGTTCAAATCTGTAATATAACAGAAGTTCAATGCACATAAATTGCTTTCCAAATCACCAAAACTGGCTTAAGATAAACCTGGATGGACATAGCATCAGACTTAACTGATTTATGTTAAATCAATTTACTGAACTTCTGTCCCAGATCCCCTCCAGATTCAAGTTAACTCACAGTCCCCCAATACCCTAGGATGCTTTGCACCTCCCCTGCAAGATCCACCCCCGTCATAGGGTGCGTAGGCTAGCCTTGGACCAAGCTGTCTGCTCCGGCTGAGCAAGGAGATGTGCTCTAGCACCCCCCCAGCTTTTTGCCTGAGCTACTGCAGGCATGTGGCTGCATTTCCAGAATCAGAAGTGAATATCTGTTTACCTGCTTATTGGATCAGTCTATGCATTTTAGACTAACCTGCCAAGATTGAATTGATTCAGTCTCAGACTTTTTGACTGTGTGTACTTAGCATAAAAATGTAAAATAAATCGAAGGCTACAAAAGGCTTCCAGGAAATAAAGGATAACTATTTACCACTGCAGTCATTTGCTGATGCAGCTTAGGATCATATGATTGTAGGAAAGTAGGGCTGAAAGGGACCTCATGAGGTTATCTACTAGTTCAGCCCCCTGCTCAATGCAGAATCATCCCTACCTAAACCATCCCAATCAAGTGTCTAACCTGTTCTTGAAAATTTCCAAGGATGGGAATTCACAACTTCTCTACGCAGCCTACTCTAATACATAACCACATTCATGAGCAGACAATTCTTCCTAATTTTCAACCTAAATCTCCTCTACTGCAGTTTGAGGCCATTTCTCCTAATCTTATCCCTATGTCCACAGAGTAAATAAAAGGTTTTCTTTATCTTGTATAATAACCCTTCATGTAATTGAAGACTTATCAAATCCCCCATCAGTTTTCTCCAGACTTATACTACCAGCTTTATACTCGTGGTAATTCAAGGTCTCACAGCAACAGAAGATTTTGCAAATACATCTATCCCCTGATCAAGCAACATTAGACAATGGGGACATTTATGCACACATGCATTTTGAAAGCACCACGTGCTAGTGTTGCTCAGTTACAACGATGAAGTCTGGCGTAGCTCCTTACAGTACAGAAGAGAGTCACTTTGAAGTCAAACACAGCTTTAACAGCTAGAGTTGCCTCAAAGTGATGAAGACTTTCTTATGCCATTCGCCCTTCCTATTTTAGGATCAATTAAAAAGGGGCTCACTTATTTCCACCTCGCCCCCACCACTTCAAATTAAGATTTTCCTCCAAGCAGAGTTCAGTCCAACTTCACCAATATTTTTCACTTTATCCAAGACTCATTTAAAGCCAATCCCTTACAGGAGAAAGAACCCCCCCAAAATTTGTTTTTCCTTTTAGATCACTAAAGAGAAATTAGCACATAGCTGTGGAAAAAGCCTTTCACTGCACACTAGAAGGAAGTGACATAGCAGAGCTTAGGTTGCTTTGAAACAACAGAACTTCTTCCTAGTCTGTTAATGGCAGAAAAAGGTTCTTTGGGTAAATCCAGTATGTTTTATTAGACCAACTAAGACAGTTGGAAAAATTCTTCTTTGCAAGGTTTTCGATACAAACATCCTTTGTCAGTTAATGTGTGCTTTGGCATTTACTAAAGCACGTCCAAAAGTAGGAATGTCACATTTTTAAATTTAGAGTTAATCTGCCACTTTCTGCAACCAAGCACAAAATGTCAAAAAATATCTTCAGAGGGGTTTTCTGTCTGATGGAAAATAGGATTAATAATTAATTTTGGCAGGGGAAGTTGTAAACTGTCCATATCTGTTCTGCAGCAAGTTGCATGTGCTTTTGCTCTTAAGCATAGTCCAACTGCAGTTAAAGAAAGAAACCTAACAATGTTAATGTTAAAACAATGTTTGTATCTCTGATTTTAAGGCTTTCCACTAGGAAGATGATCGCCTCAAGCTTCTCAAAAAATAGCTCTGAATACTTTACAGCAAACATTCAGGACAAACAACTAATCAGTGTAGAGGAGAATACTGCAGGAAGCAATCAACAGTAGTAAAAAGGAGAGGTGGAATAAGAAATGATAAATGAAAGGACTAAATGCAAGTGAGCATTGTCCCATTGCCCAGGCAGGTATCAAAACAAGGGAACAGATCTTAATTCAAGCAGCTGGGCTATTGAACAACTGGACCACATCTGTCTAGGCCCATATGTTTTTTCCAAAAAGAGCCACAGACAGCCTCTCACCCCCAAGTACCATCCTAGCATTTACCCAGACAGGATTTGTGCTCCATGGCACAAGAGCAATGCAAATAAATAATAAAAAGCACAAAGTAGCAAGGGCATGGAACAATAGCTTCAATACTTCTTAATGAATGCACAGTAGAGCTGCCCTAAACTTAAGTTACCACTAGCATATTACTTGCAGCCATTTCATTGCCTGGAAATGGAATAAAGCAGAAGAGCATGGAAAAAAGATCATTAGTGGGGCCACCTCCACTAAGTGAACAAATCAAGCTCATCCTTAAGAGATACATTCACAATAATGGAAAGTGAGCCATACAAAACAGAAAATCTGTTGTAGCACTCAAGTGGAGCTGAAGGAAGGGTAGCAAGTGGCACTGATGAAGTGGCAGCTTCAAAGAGCAGTAGCTGGAAAAAACATGGAAGAGTGGTCCTGTTTCTTCCACTGTTTGATCTGAACTTCTTTGACTGGTTTCTATGGTGGTAGGGTGAGGCAAGGTGGGGTGGGGAGGGAACATAATATACACAACTCCCTCTACTTTTCAAGCTGGGTATTTTATACTAGACCATACACATATTTTAAAAAAAGTTACCCTTACTGCTCCTTGCTCTTCAAAAGACATTTGTGAGAGGCTGGGCAGGAAGCTATTAAGTAGGCTTCTCTTTCCCCAAACAGCATGTTATCACTGAAGGAATTTTCTACTTAAACAATCCCCAAAGATCAGTCTCTTTTATCAGGTGGTGAGAAGGAGAATTTATAGGAGTGGGAAATGACTTGTTCTTGAGCTGGAAAACTGATAAAACATGGAAATAACCTTGTTCTAAATGTCCTGTCCTCATTGCTGCATGAGCTAGTGATGCTTGCTAAGATTTAGTACATGAGAGAATCAGGATTCAAATTGCAGTGGACAGGATCTTGGCTTTGAGGAGTCTAATCTCCATTTTCCTTAAGGCTCCAGTTTGGTCTACCTTCCTTACCTTCATAAAAACAAAATGAAAAACTAGCAACTCGCTCTTTAATTGTTCTTTTACCCCTTCCTATCGCTAATACAATTAGTCAGCAATGATTTATCAGACTGACTGAATAAAGCTTGAGATAAAAAAGTGCAATGATCAGTTAAGGCCTGCTGTGGGAACAACCTCTCTCAAGCCTCTGTCGAAAGTAAGTCTGAATCTACAGCTCAGTTGCATTGTGCAGTTGTTTAGGATGGAAAAAGCATATGAAATTTTGTAATTCTCTCACTCAGGTTCCTTTGAACAAGTGCACTATTCCTCTCAGACTTTTATTTAACTAGAAAAAGCACATACCAAATGCATGCAGGTATCTGCAAAGGAAGACAGGCTGAGACTGAAATTTCTTAACACTGAAATGTAATGTAATAAGGCCCTGAAAAAAGTACTACAAGAACTTTCATCAAGCCTCTCCTGTGCACTGTATTGAAACAGAAACTGCAAGTCAGCAGGCTGCACCTGCACTGACAGCTGGATGTGTCTACCTTAACAGGAAAGGGTAAAGCCCAAAGGAGACCTTCAGGCTATTTGCTTTTGTCCAATAAGACTGCTTCCTTACTTTGGATGTTGGATGTACCAATACCATTAAATGAGGGAACCGGGGAATCAAACGCTCAAAATTTTTGTTTCTCATCTGAACATAATTCAAGCTCAAGATGATAATGACACATCCAGTCAATGCAACTCGATTTCAGTGCTAAATAGACACAAAAACTGCTCTTATTAGTAGGTCTCACCTCAGCTATTTACTAACGGGCACTATCATAAACCCTCAGTTAGCACAGCTGGCAAAAAATGATTTTTTTTTTTATGGGATGCCTGAAGATCAAGTCCTTTGAGGATTATTAGAGAAATTTTATTTTCGGGCTGCTACAATCAGGTATTTGGTAGCTCTCCTACTTCAGAGGAATGTCATGGTTCTGGTGTGGGAGTTCTCAAATGAGTTCTTGGTTCTCGAGCCAATCAGTTTATTCAGGAAGAATCTGGTTATTCTGCATTACAGGAGATTTCTCTAATCATAAAAGCAACAAAAAAAAAAAGTTACACTTTTATTGGTATGGGAGTGGGGAAAAAGCAGAGAGATGAGCGCTAGTTTTGCAGGATCTCAAAATTAATCCCAGACTACAGGTAGAATCAGAATCTGCCTAAATTCAAGTTTTCAGTCTTGAAAATAGGCAGATAATTCAGCTATTCTTTCCAGCTAATCCAACATACCAGTTTGAAACTTGATTTGCAAAAATAAAGCCAAATCAAAGACCCATTTGGGACTTATGTGTCATTAAAACATGCCAGTTTCCAGAGTTGATGGCATGCAAAGGAGGGATGGGCTTGCATCATATCCAGTCACCTTTGACTCTCCACACAGCCTAAACAACAAGGTACCCATTTACAGCTGGTCTCGCTGAGGGCAGTCTTTGAACTAAGTTTTGCATTTGTGCCCCTGGAGCCATAGGAAGACACCTTAATTCCTCTCCCTCCAATGCGTCAGCACAGAAACATACTACTTGTGCTTGAGTCTGAGCAAAAGACTTCAAGGAATACAAGTTACTGGTACTGACAACTTGCTCTTTTTGGGGGGTTGAGGGGGGGGGTAGAAATCACTGAATATGAAGGAGAATACATTTTAAAGTGTTTGTTATATCGATCCAACACATTTTGATTGAAGCAGCACATTGCATATTGTAACTATTTCCATTCTTCCTTTCTCAAGAACTCTCTTGAAAGTTCGTAGATCTGTTTCCACGGTTCTTTTACAACAGCTTAAGACAAAAAACCCCCACCACAAAAAACACAAAATCAAGGAAAGTGAGTTTAAATTTCATCTCAGCAAATACAGGCTTTTAAAACTTCATAGCATTTAAGCACAGTAATTCAGTGATCTGAAACAATTATGATATTTACAAATTCAAAGCCAGAATCTAGTTCAAGGAATCTGAAGACTGATTAGTAGCACTGAAGAACCTGTGTGATCATTTTAAAGGTTTGGATGTAATATAGCTATTGCTTTAAGAGCTGAATAAGGGAAAGGCTACCAAAACAAAAAGCATGCTTACCCTTGTCTGGTGTCGATGTGCACAAGCTGGTCATTCTGGGAGTGGCTTGGTGAGGCTACCTGCTTTGGTGAGGAAAGAGATACTCCGGGAGTTTGCTTTGGTGATCTTGGCACTTCGCTAAAGGAGGATTCTTGCCCAGAAAATGAAAAGGATGCAGAACTCTCCACTGCTGAGGACAAGTCATAAGCCTGCCCAGTAGTACTTGAGTCCCGTGCTCGTTTATTGTTCTCCTCATTTAAAAGCTCCTCTCCATCTGGAACACACTCTTTTGTGGAACAGGAGTACTCCTTGGATTCAGAAGTACTCCTCTTTGACTCTTGCATCTCCGTCTGGGAGGAGTACAGAGAACTATAATCCCTGCTTTCATCTTCCTGCTTCTCACTTTTCGCACCCTTTTTCTCAGCAGTATCAGGATCTTTCCTTACCCTTATGTATTTGGACATATATTCAGAATCAACATCTGAATCTAAAGTCAATCCATATTTTTCTGCCAATTGGCGTCGCCTCTCTGCTTTGTACCTAGCTATCCTTTCTGCTTTTGAATCGAGCCCCTGGGTATCCATGGATTCGGTGCTATAGGATGGTTCTGTATTTGCACCTGTGGATTCTGCTCGGTACCTAGATGATCTAGGCTGCTTTTCTACAGAAGAATCTGAAGTTTCCTCCTCTTCATTTGATCTTCCTGCAAGGAGCATTTACATAAAGTCAGAAGCAGGTTAGAAGACCACACAAAACTAGGATGGATTGCAAACATGTTAGAGGATGGTAGCACAATTCAGAAGGATCTTGACAGATTACAAAACTGGTACGGAGCTAACAAGATTAAGTTCAATGCTGACAAATGCAAGCTGCTACACCTTAAGAGGAATAATCCAAAACAGAAATACAAATAGGTAACACCTGGCTGGATAGCAACACTACAGAGAAGGATTTAGGAGTCTTGGTAGATCACAGACTCAATATTAGCCTGCAGTGCTATACAGTCGCACAAAAAGGTGAATGTGTTTTTGGGATGCATCAGTGGAAGCGTTAGGTGCAAGATGCAAGAAGTGGTAGAGCCTCTATTTGGCACTGGTTAGGCCTCATCTAGAGTAGTGTGAGCAGTTTTGGGCTCCACAATTTAAAAAGGACATGGAGAAGTTAGAGAGGGAGTAGAGGTGGGCAACAAACATGATAAAGGGCTTGGAAGGCAAGTCATACAAGGAGAGGCTGAAGGAATTAAGCATCTTCAGTTTGTGGGAAAAGTGCTTGAAGGGCTGCCATAAAGAAAAAACACCTCCCCTCTCTTGCTGCAGAGAGTAGGATACAGTCCAATGACTTGAAGTTACAGCGAAGTAGGTTTAGATTGGATATCAGAAAAACCTTCAGCGGCAGAACAATGAACAGACTGCCTAGGGAAGCTGTGGAATCTCCATCTGTGGAGGTGCACAAGAAGAGGCTGAACAGGCATTGCTCAGGAATGATCTAGGAGTAGCTATGCCTATATTCTACTACGGCTATTTCCCATGCTTCTGGGTGTTGCTGGATTCCCCCCCACTCCCCACTGCAACATTCTCTTCAGCAACATTGGTGTTGGCTGCAGCCAAGGCTGGGGATTTTGACTGGGGTGTGTCATGGATCCTGATGGGACTTAAACCAAGAGATTCCTGGCTAGAGGGTCTTGTCCCTCTACTCAGGGTCAGACCTTGTCTGGGTTGACTGTGTAGTTTTGTTAGGATGTTAAGACAATAGATTTGTATGGTATGGTTTGGATAGGGATAATCCTGTATCTGGCAGGAGGTTGGACTAGATGACCTCTAGAGGTCTCTTCCAGCCCTGCTTCTCTATAACTGTGACTTTGTCCCTACCCAACTCATTCACTTACACACGACTGACTTTGAACACATGGTGTTACTCATTCCTTTAGCTAGCACAGGTTTTTGAGAGTCAAAAGCTAGCTAACAAAAATCACCTGTGGATATTCCCAGATACCCTTCTGAAATAACCTTCTATTTATTCCACAGACATCTCCAAAAACACATAAATGACTAATAAAAAAAAAAAAATCTTTTTAGGTTTCAAAAGGAAATCCAGATTCTTATAACAAATTTACTATTAAGAAAACAAGAGAGGTAGCTTTTTCCAAAATGGTGGGAGACCAGAAAAACAAAAAATAAAAAGCAAAGCCAGGTAGAAAAACTAAAAAAGAGGTTTAAAATATTTTGTGACAGTTCTCTCAACCATTAAGCATGAGATCTGTGCATTTGCTACTCCAAGTATGAAGCAAACTGACATGGTTGAACTGATTGACATTTTGTATGTTCACACCCTTCTTACCAAAGTGAGGACTATATGGATCTGTAGCACGCATATATCTTGGTGTATCCTCTTCTAATAAACGATGGGTCACTAATCCTGGACAGTTTTGGAGCAGGATTGGTTGGGTATCATTTTCAATTCCCTCTAAACGTCTGGCTATTCTTTCTTTTCTGCAAGAAGGTGAAATGAAATGTTCAATCTGAAACAAATGTCTGTAGCTTTGGGGATAGTTTCTAAGGAGATGCAACAAAATAACTGTCTGTAAAACTAATACTTTAGAAATGGCATTTTTACCTTTTCATTTCCAAAGTATCTTGCTTTTTTGGTTCAAAGAGTTTTCTTAATTCTGAAACTGAAAAAACAATAAAAAAGTCTCGTTACAGAAAACACTATAGAAACTAGGAATTTTCAAAAGCCCACAGAAATCACAAAATGTTGATTTTAAAGTGTCAACCAAAATGTGATGGCCTAGGAAAGCAGAGGTTTTCACGCATCTTTTCACCATAAGCAGTTTCCTAGAACACTAAACTGATAAAAAAAAATATTATCCACATGCTACAGTAGGTACCAAAGTCCCACTTAAACACTACTGTAAACAAGGCGAGTTACATTTTAACACATTAACTGGAACTTTGGCTCTATGACAACCAACTAATACAGCTGCTGGCAACCATTTTGCAGGCTGAAATGATCCAGCTCAGATCCATGTTAGGGTAGTGCTTGAATCCAAGCCCTGCTGCTGCTTTTCCTTGCTACGCAGCTGTGGCATGAGCAAAGGACCCTGATGCCAAAGTCCCCTACCAGCCAGCTGGTGCAGAAGCCCCCTGCTGCCTGGCTGTAATGTGGTGCCCTCCTCTCCCCGCAGTATATGGGCTGAATCCAGCCTGCGGGCTGTAAATTGCTAATCCCCAAGCAATGTTTACTTAACATCCCACAAAGTGTTCTTTAGCCTAATCTGAAGGAATTGTCCAAATCCCAACCATATGTGTACTTTTCACAAATTAACCCCTGTATCTTTGCTAAATTCTTAACATGGGGAATTATAACCCCAAGATGGCCTTGCCTATAGTCATAGCTGGATATGCTATTTCCTTTACATCTGTCCTAAACTGTTTAGTATCATCAGGTATTCTTATAACTGTGACTACAGTCTTTCTCTAGCACTTTATGAAATCAGTGAAGTAATGCCTATATTGGGGACACATGCAATTTATCCATTGTTATTTGTCAACTGCTTTGGAACAGAAGTAGCTATGAAAAACAAGTGTGGTACAATCATTTTATATCTGGCAAAGGAAATAGCATCTCAAAGAGTAGAGAATTTAGGCTGCATGTAGACTAAACGAGGCACACGTGTGCACGACACTTTAAAGCAGGCTAAATGCTTTTGCACTGCTTTAGTGGTGTCAGTGTTTGCACGGGTCAGCGGTGTATTGAGTCTTAATTCCAGCCCCTGTAGGAAATTCGGTGGCATAATGACTTGGGTTGCAGCAAACTAAAACTCCTAGTTTGCTTCCCCTACAGCTGCAGAGCGAAGCACCAGACTCTGTGCAGCTCCGCGGCTCTCCAGGAAGCCCTGCAGGCAGTCTGGCAGCAGCCCGGGAAAGCAGGCTCTGCCCAAGAAAAGCAGAGCACCTGATCTTTTTCCCTACCCCTCTCTCCTCCCCTGGAGCCCGCCTGAGCTGTGCAGGGGCCTGGTGCTTCCCTCCATGGCTGGAGTGCCCCCTGGGACCACTCGAGCTGGGTTCCTGTGGGCAGGTGCTGCCTGAGGGGGGTGGCCCGCCGCTGCCACAAGGAAAACACCAGCCCCCACCCTTGGAACCCAGGGGCCGCTCCACCTGCCAGCAGCTCGCCTCCGCTCCCTGCCGGAGAGGCAGGGGAGGCAGCAGGGGCTGTGGATGATAAGGGGGGGTTAGTGCATGATAGGGGGGTTTAATCAGCCCTAATTTGAAGGAGTGTTTTTTAAAACCCACCGCTTCAATTTAGGGCCCCCCGTTTCATCTGCACATGCCCTTAAATTCCAGAAACCCAATTTGCTATGTAAAAACCTGATTTTCTACATTAGTGTCACTGTGTAGGCCTGTTAAAGGGCTAAAGACTTTTCCAACTGGTTTTTAGGGTGGTTTGGACTTCTCAACAGGCTTGCCACTCCTTTACATCAAAGGATATGTTTCTACTGTAACAGAACATTAAGTTTTCTTTATGTAGTTCAGGTTCCACAACTGGATTGCAGAAGACAGATGAATGTCCTGTAGAAAGGAGTTCCAATTCACACAATACCAGCCAAACAAGGACTGAGATGGACATTTGCTATAAATATTCCGTTTAAGCAAGGAAAAGGTTTAACCAAGTAAAACTAATACTCTACAGTATTAGCAGAGTATTAGAAAATATTAAATTCTAGGCTGACTACAAGACTTTATCCAAGAGTGACAATTTATTGTAGAGTTAAAATTGCTTAAGAGGAAGCTTGAGAATACACTATTTACATTTATACTTAACTGACAATGCAAAAATATAGGTAAGAGATATTTCTAGTGTTCAGATAGACCCATTCTGCAAGTGAAAGTCACTATATCACCTTGTACCCCTTTGTCCCACTGACGCATCTACTTTTGTACATCAGGCTGTGTTACAAAAAGCAGCAAGGAGGAGCATCCATTCATGTCTTCTGCTTTAACTGTTTGGTTCAAGATGCAAGTAAGGTGAATAAAATCACACTTGGGTGGATGCAATGGAATAAGCCCTGGCTGTATTTCTAGGCTGTTCTGATGATACTGGCTGCCATCACACTACCTTGGCCTACAGGTCAGATGTCTTGTGGCAAGCAAGGTCCAGATAGCAATCTACTACTAATTTAAATAGGTGTGGTGGTACTATAGATTTCATAGACATTAGGGCTGGAAGGGACCTTGTAAGATCGAGTCCAGTCCCTCACCCGAGGGACAGGAAGTCAGCTGGGGTCATAGTTTAAACTAGTTTATAGTTTAAGCTAGCCCTGAGGAGGAAAAAATATCCTGGGGCATCCATTTAAACTACTTACTATGAACCCATCTTCAATGCAAATTAACTAAAAAATTACTATGTGAGCTTCTCAAGCCAAGTTAGGTTGAGTGAACTGTTACTAATACATCAAGATCTGACCCACAAAGGGATTTCATTAGCTAAACAGAAGCCCAGAGTCAATACGACTGCAATTTGACCCTCCCACTCGCAGGCCAGCTAACCCAATCAGAAATAGAGAATCAGGCAGGGCAACACCTGAGTTATGCCTTAAGCCAAAAACACAATTAAAACAAGCCTCAACTCTTAATCATGGTTGAAGTATTAATTTCTCCTACCAAAATTTTGTCTAAATGAATACCTTGTTCTCCAACAGCAGCTACCTTAAAAGGTTAGATATTCAGTCTGACTTCGTCAGATTAAACTTTTCCGTTTTACTTACTGGCAATATGTATGCAAAGCTTGGACAATACCAAAAACCATGCTACAACTCTTCAGTTTGGTCAGAAAGCCCCAGAGGAGTCATGTTGCCTCTTCACCCCAGGCTACAGTAGTGTGTGCAATAAAGGCAGCAATGGAATAATGACAAATCCCCCCAAAACTTCCTCAAATTATAGAAACAATAGGACTTCCACCCAAGTATATGATCAGACCATTCATTTTCCTTCTTACAATTACCAATGGATTTTATACAGTATCACTCAACCACCAGGAAGCAGCTCTTTTTCTCTGGTTTATGAGAATACTGAGAAGACAACTTAATAACAAAAGTTTTCTTGTCAAAGCTGAACTTAGACACTTGAGCTACATATTAATCATAGGCAGGCTTTGAAATGCTGACATTAGAGCTAATGCTTAGAAATAATACATAGCAACCACATGCTGTTTAAGTTCCAGAGATTCTACCGCTGTTCTGCACCCCAAATAAAACACTGGATGCATAAAACATCTCTTTGACACCTTCCCAAGCAAGACAAAAATAGAATAGGTCTAGTCTATGCTGCATTACATCATCTATGCTTAAAGTTGCAGATGGCAATTTCAATTATGCAAATCATCATCTGAGTAGCTGACCTGAAAAGGCTCCTTTTATTTAAAAGGCCACAGAGGTTTTTGTATTTGT